CCTAATTTCGTAGTGTAGACATATCCTTGGTGACTAAACTGCAGCAGCAGTTCCACCCTGCCAGGTTCTCTGCCTCCCCTCCCTCCCTGGCATGGCAGAACAGGTAAGGAAGCGCCAGTTCAAGTCCAAAAATCACTCTATTTGCAAGGCAGCCTTCACAGACTCAGCAGACAGTGAGGTGTGCCCTGCCTACGCCCAGTCAACCAATCTTAGCTCCATTAGGGCACAGGGATCCGAGCTTGACAGGCTTACAGGGTCCGCTACCTGCCCGAGTAGCCGCAACTTTAACCTGGGAAAACTGAACCTGAAGCCACAGAACCGAGCAGGGAGAGGCTTGAAGGATGAGGACCCCCCCATCCAGCTGCCCAGGGTACTCCTGAAACTCCGAAGAGAACAGCCTTGTGGGGCTACAGGTCTTCACCCCCTCTCCCTACACCAACTCTTAAAATGACTCTTTCCCTGGGGAAAGAAGCAGGTCTAATAAACAGCCCTTTTCACTCCCAATTTGAGCCTTCTCTAGGGGCTGGGACCCTGCAGGGGTGGATTGAGACAGAGAGCTCTATAGAGGTCTTCAGATGTTCTGGAAGGCACACTATAAAAGACCTCATCAGAGCCACAACAGAGGTCATTGACCTGCAAGTCAGGCTACAAGGGCAGAGAAACCAAAAAAGGGAAGACAAACAGGAGGCACATGCCTTCTGACTTGTCCTCTTTATCCTCCCCCTCCTCCACAGTAGAACAACTATGGGGCTCTGAATATGAGCAGGGGAGACACAAAAAATATTCTTACCCTCTAAAAAGTTTGTGTCCACCATACAGATACAGCCTGAACAAGTTCCTGAGAGCAAGCCTGAAAGCAAATTCCTGCCTTCAGAATCCTCTTCTGAGGCAGCTATTCCTCTGCACTCCTCCTTTGAGGATGTGGTCATAGAGGAGTGGGAACAAGCCTGACAAAGGCAAACATATCAGTAAAAATGACCTCCAGTTCTACAGATTGCAGGAGCCAAAAAACTCCATTGCTGAGGTCCCAATGCTAAATGCTGTTATTGAAACCCTAGTAAGGGGCATGGTTATCCCCTCAAGGAAAATTCTACCCTAAGGATCACACAGAAAGGAAAGTGGAGGACACACTCAAAAAAGACTTTGAGACCTCTTTGGCTACCTGAAAGACCATCTCTGACAGCAACATGCTTTGCTAGGGCATCTCTCTTCTGGCTGGAGGATCTCATGGATCTAAGGAACAGAGATCACCCTGATTCCAGCCCTACTCTTTAAAAAAAAAAAAAAAAAAAAATCTCCTTAGCAACAGCATTTGTAGCGCTTCACAGTTCAGTGAATGTATCAAGCTTGTCAGCCAGAGCCATGGCAAGATAGCTCAGCAGACGGGTGCCAGGTGTGGTTCTGCCTTGAAAAATGAATTCCCATTCTAAACAGGTTCTATGCTTAGGAAAGTTTATAGTCTCCATCCTGTTCGAGGAAAAGCTGGAGCAACTAGTGGTGGAAAACATGGCGAAATCTGGGCAGACCCTCCTGGCCTCAGTAACTTACATTCAGATAGGGACATCTTTCATCCATCTTCCTTGCAGAAGTACCAATGAAGGGACAGCAGCTTCTCCAATAGTAAATCCTGGAATCAAGGTTCTAGGAGAAGGCCCAGAGACTGCTCCACAGCCTCCAAGGCCACCTTATGACAATGACTGGATGTGCGCACACCCATGGCTGAAGCTAGAAGGCAGAATTTCTCCCTTCACAGAGCAGTGGTATGCATCCACAGCAGACAAGTGGGTGAGGGATATAGTGAGCTGAAGTAGTCCCTTAGGATGAGATGGAGCCCTCAACTCTTCTTCATCCAGTCCCCATAAAACACAAGCTGATCCAGAATGAGATTTCTTATCTGGAAGTAAGAGTATTAGAAAGTGTGCTCTCAGAAGAGAGATTCTTAGGGTTTTACTCCATCTTCTGTATACCCAGAAGAGTATCAGGGTGGGGGCCATCTTCTGCCGCAAGAGGCTCAACATATGGATGAGAAAGACAAAGTTCTGAATGGAGATCTTGGCCTCAGCACTCTCCTCCTTATTTCAAGGAGACTCCTTGATGTCAGTGTATGCCTATCTCCATATCCTCGTAAGGTCATGTAACCACAGACTCCTGAGATTCACTTATGGAAAAACTATTACCAGAATCAAATGCTCCCCTTTGGACTGTCTTCGGTCCCCGGTGTCTTTACAGAGGTGCTGGTAGTGATCAGGCGTAGGGCACAAGATATCCACCTATGTCCCTTCCTCGACCACATCCCTTCCCAAGCCAAAGTGCACAAAGCCACAGCTCTGAGTCTGGACTTTCTGAAAGTTAATGGCTTCGTCATCAACATCAAAAAGAGCTCCCTGATTCCTTCAACCAGCATCTCTCACCGGGGAGTAGATACAGAAACCCTGATAGCAAAAATCTGTCACCTGAAAGATTCCAGAAGATCCAGGATCTTAACAGTTTTTTGCGAACTGTAGATGTCCTGCTATAGCATGGCATCTTCAGCTTCTGGGCTTTCTGGTATCGTGAATAGGAATTTGGGCAAGATCGCACATCTGGTGCCTTTAAACCTTCCTCCTGAGAACATGCAACCACTTGCTGGAACACATGAAAGACCAAGTGCAAGTCTAAATCCAGATATTAAGCTCCCTAGAATGGTGGACTTTCCATGTTAATGTCTGCAAAGGCCTGCCTATATGTCTTCAAGAGCCTCTTGTCCTTACTACCAATGCTATACTGGAGGGCTGGAGTGTTCATCTGGGTTTTCAAACCACCCAGGGAACCTCAAGCCTGGAGAAAAAAGATACAGCATGAACCTTCTAGAACTCAGAGCAGGCAAGCTAGAAATGTGAGTTTTAGATCTTCCTGGAAAGAAATCACGTATGGTTTAGTCAGACAACACAACTACAGTCACATGCATAAACAGCAAGAAGCCCAAAGCTACACACAGAAGCAATGGAAATAATGAAATGGGCAGAGCAATCTCTTCTGTCCCTCAGAGCAATCCACATAAAAGGAGAACTGACCCAGAAGGCAGGTTGTCTCAGCAGGCATAAGTTCAACAATCTGGAGTGATGCCTGTATGAGGAGCTCTTTGGACTGACCTCGAGGATGTTCAGTCTTCCTTCAGCCTCTTTGTTTGTGAGCTGCAGAAACACAAAGAGGCTGAGGTACTACACCATGGAGACAGGTCCCGAATCTCTGAGAATGGAAGACCTTTTGCACAAATAGCCAGAGGGCCTACTTTATGCATGACCACCTTTTCCCCTCCCGGGGAAAGTGATTCAGAAAATAAACAGGGAGCAGGTGAAAGTCATGTTGATAACTCCCTATTGACCAAGGAGACATGGTTTTCCAACCTGATAGGACCTGATACTGGAATCTCCACTATAATTATCTTCTCCGAAGGGAGACCGTTTATCTCCCAAGGCCCATTTCTCAATTCAGATCCAGTCTGGCTTTAGCTGACAGCCTGGCTAATGAAAGGGAAGCCTTAACAATCCTAGATGTATCTTCCAAAGTTCTCAAGACCTTGCTAGCATCCAGGAGAGCCTTAACTGTAAACGCATACCCTTCCAACTTGTCCAGGTTCAGTGAGTGGTGCCAAGACAAACAGTATGGACCCCAGGAATCTGGGGATTCCAGCCATTTTGGTCTTATTCCAGAAAGGTGTAGATAAGGGCCTTCAGTCCAGCACCACAGTGTGTCAAATTTAGGTTTCTGTTCTTAGCTGCATCCTTTTCATGGGGTCTGTGGGATCCTTGGCAGAGAACCCTAGATCTCCAGATTCCTCAGGGTTGTCAGGCTGGCCAGCCAACTTTCAGACCAATTTTTCCAAAATGGGATCTACCACTGGTTTTGAAGGCTTAACAGATCATTCCTTTGAGCACCTTACTTCAGTGACTGCCTTCTTCCTGTTGATAAAAACCGGTTTTTCTGGTCATTATCACCCCAACTAGACGGGTATCAGAGCTGGCAGTGTTATCAATGCAAGAATCTTACTGTGTGTTTCATAATGACAGGGTGGTGCTGAGAACTCTTAAGGTCTTTTCTTCCTGGGAAAAGTCATCCTTCATTCTGTCTGAAGCGGCAACATCTGACAGAGAAATGACACAACTTAGATGTTGTGAAACAACACAGCTTCATCAGATTGTTTTACATTTTGTTTTCGGGTCTTAGTCTGCTACTGTTCCTTAATTTGTCTCACTTCCTTCTACTCTTTCTCCCTCTTTTGGGTGGGCTGCTTACTACTTTTCATCAGTTATGGTGATCCAGACTAGAGGTTTATGAATGTATGGAGGGATTAGGCAAATTCAGTTTACTGTAAATGTCTTCTTGTAACAGGGAAGAGTCTATATATTTCCCCCCAAGGTAGCATATACTTTTATGTTTGTAATTATTTAGGTTTAAAACTTCAGAAGTTTAGAGAATGGAGATGTGTATTTCTCTATTTCTATGTAAGGGGAACTGTGAAGGTACCCGGAATTTCAGTATCAGATTAGTGCCTCTGTGTGTGGTAGTGTGGGCACAGTTAACTAACTACTGTGACTTCTAGAGAAGGTGATTCTTTATTATGAGAAGACACACTTATGGTAAGTTTACTTTGTCTACTAAATGTCTTGTTGCAAAATTTGGGTAAAATGTATCAGTATGATTAGAAGTTTTAGCTCTATTTTAACTATTGTAGACTGTTCTATAAAAACAAAATTATAGAATTCTTTTACAGGCTTTTGCAGAGGAATATCTTTTTAATTTCGTTGGAAAAAACTAAACTCCATTCCTATATACACTAAATATTCTGGAAGAAATGAGTCAGAACTAGGATTCTTTTTACCAATAGGTACCGTAATCAAAATAACCATTTATTGGATTACTTCTATACAATGTCTCTGGTGGATCAAATTAAAAACACGTTAGACTTATACATTTTAATTAAAATGAATAAATATTTTTCATATTTCTCACTACATTAGGAGGCCTTATCAGCATCAACATGAGTGAAATTAGTTTTGATGAAATTCAGGAAGTATTTTCAAAGGATTTAGACATTGAGCCAGGTGGTCATTGGAAACCAAAAGATTGTAAACCACGATGGAAGGTGAGACAAAGTTCCTTACTGACCTCCTTTCCACTAATTGTTTTCCAGCTTATTGAGAATATTTGAAAACTACAAGCATCCATTCTTAGAAATTTAAATCTTTGTGCTGGTCATTTGATCCAAGAAGGGTAATTTAAATATTGCCATGAACCTTCACAAAATTTCAGTACTTGAAAACATATCTACAGAGAAGTTAAGGACATTTTTGGTATTTGTGTAGGCATTTTAATATATAACAGGGGAGACCAAACTTATTGGCCTTCTGAGCTGCGTACGACAATCTTCAGAAGTTCGGGAGCCAGGGCACACCTGCCGGGGTCCGGGGCTTAGTGCTTCAGCCCTGCTCCTGCTGAAGCCCTGAGCCCCAGCAAGTGTGCTCTGCAGGGCTGAAGCCCCAAAACCCCTCTCCCCACTGGGCAAAGCCCCTACCACACCACCCTGCTGCAAGGCAGAGGTCTCGAGCTCCCCCTAGTCTGGTAGTGGAGAATGGGGGGATGCACGGGGGGCTCCGTGAGCTGCACTTTAATGGTAAAAGAGCCGCATGTGGCTCGTGAGCCAGTTTGGCCACCCCTGATATATAAACATGAATTCATTATTTCTGTGTTCCCATCGTGAATATACACAGATTAGAACATTTCTCATGAGAACAATGAATGTAGTCAAAAAGGTATTGCCTTAATCAGTGGTGACTCTTCCTAGTATGTTCAGTCCTTTGGTTCAATAAATTGCTTACAATAAACTGTGATTGGACATCAGTATTACCCCTTAAAGTCACTTGTAGACTCATTCACTAGAAAAATGCATCATAGTTTTGTATGTAAAAAGGACTGCCTTGTTTAGCTGCTTTCTAGAGGAGCACGAAAAGTTGTAGAAGAGTTCACCAATTCAACATTAAGGCTAAAACACTGAAAAATCCATAACAGATTTAATTTAACCCATTATGATTTTAAAATACTCATATCATCTTAACATTACTCTCTAATCTGATTTATTTTGCAGGTGGCAATCCTCATTCCTTTTCGCAATCGCCATGAACATCTTCCGATTTTTTTCCGGCACCTCATACCTATGTTACAGAAGCAACGGTTGGAATTTGCCTTTTATGTTGTTGAACAAGTGAGTCTTTAATTAGAATAATATATCAAAATTAACTCCTTGGAACTTCCTCACTGATTGGGGTCTGATGTTGCTATTGAATATTCTGTGAATCAGGAAATCTCAACTTCTGAAACTAAACATTTAAGCAGTTACATTCTGATCCATTAAGTAAAATACAAACAAAAAACCCTCAACTCTTTTTTCTCAGATTTATTGGTGATCAGTGACATCTTATTTCTCTTAAAATATAGAGCAGTATTTTTATAGCTGTTAACATTAACCTCATTGAATCTATTGTATACAAAGTTAAGGCTTGTAGTGTAAAATCATTATCTTTGCAGTTATAAAAATTAAAAATTGATATTTGCAAAGGAATTTGAGGGCAGGGACTAATAAAGGGCTACACAGATTTACACCTCTAGATTGCATATTCTTATCTAACTCAAATCTATAGTTACCAAAAGTAGTTATCATTTGAAGGTTGTCCATTTGGCTGTCATTAAATGAATTGGTGGACTCTGTCTAGTTCTTACTGAATATGTGATCACATTACAAATGTTACCAGCTAGTACCCTGAAAGGTAGTCTCATCATAAATGCATACACTTCAATTGGTTTGGAGAATGACTGACCCCCGGAAGATTCTATCCCTTCAAAACAGGGTTATGGCACATTGGTGGGGCAGTTTGTGAGGAATTTGCTCTGCTGTTGGCAGTATTATATTAATAGCTGATCTATACATTAATTACATGATTTAGGTTTCCAGGACAGTGAATTCTGCATCTTTCACATACATACATACATTCAGTCTTTAATGGAAAAAGAATAAGGGAGAGTGAGGAAATGGGTGTTCTTAAAAAGATCTAATTACATGATAATTTTCTGATACTAAAAAGGCTTGTAAACTAATTTTTTTCAGTCTTCAGGGAGCTGCTCCTCAAATTCCATTTTTTTATTTAATAAGATTAAATAATGTTGAAAATTTAAAAAGGTTTTTAATAAAATTATCTAACAAGATTTTATCAGGCTATGGACATATGTCCTATCACAAGGTTAACTTACTGTAAACATGTAGCAAAGTATTTCATACTAGTTGAAATTCATAAATACTGTGTGCTTTGTTTTAACAAGATACATTTTTGAGTGGTTAAACATTGTTCCCAACTTTGGTATTGCATTAGTGATTTGGTATTGCATTTATACTTCGGCATAAAACTTAACTGCAACTTGTACTTGAAGATAAGTATCAGTGCTCCTTATAGTATTGGTGCTTATGATTGATTTGGTGCAATGTTTCTTAATGTAAACTAAATAGAAGTTTTAAGTTCTTGCTCTTCAAGGGCAGGAATTCTAGAGGGAGGATTTTTCTTTAATTGCACAAAATGGAGTTGGTGAAATACTGCTATTCTTGCTGCTGCTGTGATTAAATGAAAGCATAACAAGCCTCGGTATCAACACACCCTTTTCTTTCTAATACGAGGGGGGCTGGTAAATTTCCTGTATATCAAAGTAGTGTCTACTTGCTCTTGCCTTATTCGGTTTCTCCTTTGTTTCCGCATAAAGAGTGGTACACAACCTTTTAACCGTGCAATGCTCTTTAACGTTGGCTTCAAAGAGGCTATGAAGGATGTTGCCTGGGACTGTGTAATTTTTCATGATGTGGATCATTTACCTGAAAATGACCGAAATTATTATGGATGTGGAGAGATGCCACGTCATTTTGCAGCAAAGCTGGACAAATACATGTACATGTAAGTATTGCAGTTCACCTTTCCTGTCTTAAAAGATGCAGAAATGTCTTTTGAATGTGCACATAAAAAACCCTTAGCCGTAGTTAACATTCAACCTACAAAAATGTAAGATTTTAACCAACAGATATGCCATTTTCTTACTCTAAATGTTGTACAAGCTATTAACTGATAGTATCATAAAAGGAAAGAACAGAAGGGAAAGTTTTTAGTTTTTGTATTTGAGAAGCTACTAGTATAGAGACACCACCTCCTTTAGCACCGTCTTTGTTACTAAATGGTTATATAAAATACATGTAGCAATAAAGGCAAGCTGCTCTTGATAATATATTTCTGCTTTGTAGAAAAGCTCGTCTACCTTTGTAGAAATATTCTGAGTGTTGGTTTTATGTTCACTACCCTGATGTAATTACAGCTCTCAAAAGGTCTCTGTTGCTTTCATAAACTTTTAATATTGGCTTCTAAAATAGCTCTATGTTTTCATCTATCTAACTGTTGTAATAGGGCGTCAGTACTTATTTCCTTCCAATGTGTGCCTTCTTGAGATGTCTCTTACCATC